CTCTCTCTCTCTCTCTCTCTCTCTCTCTCTCTCTCTCTCTCTCCTCCCTCCCTCCTCTCTCTCTCTCTCTCTCTCTCTCTCTCAATCCCTGTGCACACATTTAGAGCGATTACCTCCCACGTGCTCACCTGTGCAAACAGCACCGACAAGCACACCTGCAAGTAGTTCATTCCATCTCGTCTCGCTCGTTTATTTCGGGAAGCCTACAATATGCATATTTTCCGCTGGCGTTTTCGCAATTATTTAAAACTGGCTGTTGCAATGATTCGGGAAGCTCGCAGCAGACACTAGCTGATGGGTGTGAACGGGAATGGCACTATACGATGGGTCTGTGGACTGTGGACGTGCGCACACACACACACACACGCTGATGGGCTGATGTGTTTGGTGGGAGAAGAGTCAATGAGCTATAATAGGGAAGCAGTCTAGTGAATATGACAAACACTACTCAGCACGACACGTTGGGGTAGAACAGTGAGGAAGGGTCTTATGGTTTGCTGCTGTGCATACAGTGACTGTTTTGTGAACTCCGTGCATCAGTGTTTGTCTGTATATATGTTCCATACGTGAACCGATATAATGTGAAAATGTGAAAATAATTCAGCATAGAGCATTGTTAATCATTTAAAGGTTTAAAACAAAAACTAAATCGTGATTACTATTAGGAATATATTTATTTGTTTGGCTGCATATCGGTGACTTCGTGACATCAGGAGGAGAAGCCTGGTGTGTTCAGCTGTCACTAGTGACGGTTAGAGCTTTATCAGCGTTTGACAGTCTCGTTGTGTGCACACATGTCGCTGAGATTCTTGATGAGCTTGTGGTGCTCGATGTGCGTAGGTACATGCGTATGGCAGCCGCCTGTTTAATTTCGTTTTTGAGCACAATTTGATAGTATAGAGTGAATTATTGAGGTCTAGGCTGCTATCGGCTGTATGAGGCAGATAACACGATTATCAGAGGCAGAGATGTCATTGTTATTAGGTATTGCTAATGAGTACACTGGTGAATTTGTCGCGCAGCACAAATTTTCTCATGAAAATTACATCAGCGCAGTATTTGCAAAGACATGCAAGTCTCATCAAATGTAATTATCATCATCAGCAGCGGGGATTCTTATAGACCAGGTGTATAATGAAAATAACAAAATAGGAAGAGGCGGATGATATACAGTGAAGTGTTACTAATGTGATTTTGTCGTTGTCTTCTCGCAGGGCTGTGTTACACGTGCGGAGAGAAGGTGACAGGTTCGAGCCAGGCATGCCAAGCCATGGGACACCTCTATCACACCAACTGCTTCGTCTGTTGCTCATGTGGTGAGTACACTGCCTCCTGCTGATGACAGGAACTAGCTGGCTGCGATTTCTGTAGTGTATATATATGGGTCCGCGCGACTAGTAGGATTGCAAGGGAATTGAGTAGCAATGACGTATATAGGCGGTTTACATTGCGATGTATAGTGTAGAATTTCTGCGTAGTTATCATAGTTATCATTGCAGTTTTATTGCGTGCGCATGAAGTGCAATTCGATTTGCACGGATATTCCAGTCTTGTCCAATACGTTTATCGTCACAACTATATATACGAGATAACCCAGTTTCATCATTGGTACATCATCCGTCGGTTTCCCAATTCTTGCCTCAATCCAATTTCCCTTTTTTGATCCGAGGTTTTCCTTGCAAATTCTGCAGCAGCTCTTACTTTTTTCTTGCGGATTGGCGAGTATCTTCAGCGGCATAATAATCCTCATCTGATGGAATTCGCGGGCCGGGAGATATATATAAGTAAAAGGATATTCGGCTTCAGCGTGGTTTTCTACCGTGAAATCGGTGCGCGGTTTCTCGCGACAGAAATGGTAACCGGTGTAGCGAAACACCGACGAAATGTCTGGGTAGAGACAGGTTCAGCGGTGCATGGTGATGAGTCTTTAATCGTAGCAGTGATGCTGACATCATAGAGCTACAGCTTGCGAACAGTAGTTCGGCCGACCAGTGACAACGGTAAATAAATAAAAAAAGGTGAAAATGAAACAATGTGAAGTTCCACTAGCCAGTGCCCAGTGAAGCCATCGCAGTGACAATACTATGTAGATTGTTATTAGCTGAGCTAATAACAATCTACATAGTATTTGTCACTGCGACAGTGCTCTGTCAGTTAAGTCAAATCAGTATTAGTTGACGTAGTGTTCGTAGGAACAGTAGTGTGGTGATGATATTGATAATGACGACGACGACGACGACGACGACGACGACGACGACGACGACGACGACGACGACGACGACGACGACGACGACGACGACGACGACGACGACGACGACGACGACGACGACGACGACGACGACGACGACGACGACGACGACGACGACG